CGTGCGGCGCAGGGCGCGCGGCGCGCCGCGCGCCCTGCGCCGCACGCGCAGTGCGAGCAGCGCGCGCAGCCGGAGGCCCCGCAACGTCGCTGCGCCGCTGCGGCGGCCGCGACGCTGGTCCTGACGCGCTCGGCCCACCGCGCCGCGTGCGCCGCGCGGGCCGCGCGGGCACGTCACACGCTGCGTGCGATGAAAGAGGCGAAGCAGCTGGAACGAAAGGTGGAGGACATAAATAAGCCTACAGAGCTGGGCTTAAGAATTCCGGACTCAAAGCTGCAGGGCTTGAGCCTACAAGAGCCCAGGAAGTTTGTGAGTCGGGCCAAGCATGCGTCTTGGGGTCCGCTGCCATATTCTGTGAACATTGAGGAGTTATTAGAGTTGCCTTTCGTGGAGGTGATCATTGTTTCGTGCATCCTGCTGTCTGCTTTCCTTGCTGCAGTGGACACACTCCCTGTGCTTCAAGAACCCAATTGTTCAGAGGTCTTGTTTGCCCTGAACTGGGTCGAGAATTCAATTTGTATCTGTTTTTTCGTGGAGTTCTGGCTTCGATGGTATTCTCGATCTTTTAGACCCAGCTACATTCTAAAGCCTTTGGTGATCATTGACATTCTGGCCTTTCTGCCTGTCTTCATCGAGTCCGTGAGTGGTCCTCCCTCCTTCGTCGCGGGCTTCCGTCTCCTGCGGGTCTTCAGGCTGCAACGGTTTCTGAAGGATTACAATGCCTTCCTCACCCTGGCCACCGGCCTGGGCATCGACCGCAACTACGTGACACCCGTATACTTGGAGGCCGGGTTGCGGTCCGCGGTCCGCAGTCGATCGGGTTGCGGTCCGCGGTCAGGCCGAAGAGAGAGCGGAATCCATCGGAATCCATCCGTTTTCAGGTTCGGTACGACGCCTCATGCACCTGACCCATCTCGTTAACGTGCCGAGGGTTTTCGTACCGGACTCCGTGTGGAACACATCGCCAGCCCATCGCTCGGAGGGTGGGAGTGAATCCGGAGTGGATCGGAGGGCGATCGGAATCGCCGAAGTGTTTGATGTTTAGACTATAGTTCCTACAGTCGTACCGAACCTCAGAAGGTACAACTGGAGATAACTGGAGCCTCCAAACCTATATACAGTATAACAGTGTCTCCAAACACCTTCTGAGAAGGTGCTTGGATCCCTATAGAGCACTGTAGTATCTTTGGCCGCGTACTTTTGCAAGAAAGAATATATTGTCTCTTTGGATATGGAACATCTTGTTCCAAGGAGGTGAGCTTGGTGGTGAACCGGGTGGTGCCAGTGATTCTTCCTGCTTTTTGGTGGATGAACTGTGAGACATATGGCAAACACATGCAAGCACTCCATGTATTTGAAGACTCTCAGGCGGGCCAGAACTCACCTCCCAACCCCGACCCGTCAAAACGCGAACGTCGCCCAGGTGACTCGCGTCTTGCTGACCATTTTTACACTCCTTTACACTGCCACAGGAGCCATCTACGCGGCGGAACATGACGCTTGGATTCGGCCGAAAACGCGCCGCCCGAGGTGATTTTCTGTGCAAACCACTCATCCAACGAAGGAAACAAGCGCGATGGTCCGCCTGGATGGTCCAATCATGCGAGAATCGCTCACTCCAAGAAGAAGTCGCAAAGCAGAATGCCGTCACCCCATAAAGAGAATCACATGCAATATGTACTCGTAGACGGTGGACTGTTCAAAATTCATGCAACCACACATCCATTTTGGATGATAAAACATGGTAAAACAGTCTATCATTAAATCAACATACACAACCCAGACACTCCATGTAGGCCATATATGCCTACATTGGGGTGGTTTGGGGGGTCAATACATCCGAACATCTCACAATTTCAGACTCCGCACGTCTCAGGCAAACAGCATGGATGAGCTACGTATGGATGACATCTCGTCTCGTCTCACACGATCATCGAACAGTTGCGTCATCAAACAACTCCTGAGATTATACTTCCCCGCAAAGAACCAGGAAACCTCACTGAAAAACCCAAAGCGTTTATTGAATTCTTCATGAAGTTGGCCCATCGCAACCTAGACCTATATAACGTTTGTCCCAGATCGGATCTTCCACAAATTCTGAATTCATCTTTCACCACCCGGTCGAGGATGTGAATCCTCAGTTCCCCGACTTCTTCACCGCCCTGTACTTCGGCCTCACCACCTTGACCACGGTGGGCTTCGGCGACATCACGCCCATCACCACGTCGGGCCGCCTGGTGGTGGCCGCGTCGATCCTCGCGGGCGGCGCGGTGATCCCCTTCCAGTTGAGCCGCCTGGCGGAGCCTCGGCGCGAGGTAGGTTTGAAAGGGAACTCGGGGAGGGGTTGAAAGGCATCAAAGGATTTGGAGTCCACTGGGGTTTCGGGTGCTTCATGGTGCTTCTAAGTGCTTTGATGATGTCTTTTGAGGGGCGTGAGAGTGACGTTGTGTTGGGAGTGTTCAGGGTTGTTCATTGATTGGAGGATTTGCGATGCATTGCGAGGCTGACGAACGGCTCAGAATTGCGGTTTGCCTTTTCGGTTGCCCTGCCATGTCTAACTTGCTGAAACGCAGGAAGTCTTCATGAAGAACGTTCGTGGAGAGATGGAGACCGAGGTAGAGACCCACATGGAGACCGAAGCCCATCAGGCACGACATGTCGTCGAGGGGTTGAGTCTTGGGAGGTTAAGAATTTCTGGACGCCAAATTTGCTGCGGGAAAAGCGGGGCCAACATACGGGGTGTGGAAAAGTACTGGACGTGGCAAGGTTGAAACCAGCACCAAATGTGCCAGCGATCTCATGATCAGGTATGCCCCAAGTGCCAAGCAACTCCTCATCGGAAAGACGCAGCCTTCTGCTGGCGTTGTGGATCAGTGCTGCCAATGCGCGGCCGTGAGTGATCTGCAGGTTGGAGGACTTGAGAGAGATGAATTGGCAAGGAGTTTGGTGGTCCAAACTGAGATGGACTCATTGCTGACGACTCACTTCATTTGAAGTTCGATGGATTTCACATGAAATAATCTTATGATCGATTCTCATATCATGCGAAGTTTGACCACAAGACAAGTAGAAGCTTTGCTTGTTTTTGCTTAAGAGGATTGACCACCGATTCCTCCAAGCACTCTTTCAAGGTGGGTATGTGGAATCGTGCAAGACCTTTGTGGGTCTTCTAGGACGACCAAGCTGTGGTGGTCACATTTTGACCCATACCCGTACCCTGTGTGGCCAAAGACTAGAGTGACTAGCCGGAGATGAGGCTCAAGATCTCTATATATATATATACTTGGATTTACTATACACGGATACCATCTGGCGGCTTCATCAGTTGTTTGATCATTGGCCACTCCCAACCTTGACCGAGATCACAGAGTTTGACGTGTTCGCTGGGTCTTTGGCAGTGAAGTTGTTGGATCATTCATGTTCATCAACTTGTTTAGTTTTCCAGCTCCGGCTGCGGCAAAGTTGCTCCGGACGTCGTCTCAAGCTCCGACATGATTTACTACAAACCTGGATAAAGTTCTGCGCTCCGGATCACAAAAAGACGTGTTAGATCGTGTTAGACAGATGCCATGAAGGCACCTTGAAGAGAGGTGTAGTTGGTGGCCTTGTCACCATCTCAGTTCGCCCGTGAGGAGGCCAGGTGGAAAGAAGACGCTGGAAGGAAACACAATCTAAGCCCCGAGGCAACTGAAAGTACAAGGGCTTTTCCTGTCCTTGGTCTCCCAGGTATGAATCATCAACGAACACCTCCTGACACTGAGGATGACTTTCTACATGAAAAAAAAAACAGTCCTTTAGTGGGCAGTTCATTCGCTGTGTTGTGCAAACTCATCTACCAGGCTCCTGAGCACTATAGCGATGCCCTAAGGATCCATCGGTTTTTTTCCTGCAGCTAGCAGCTAGTCCAGCCGCCGGTGACCCCAGTCCAGCGATGCTCCAGGCTCCACTTTTTTTCAATCCCACGGCCACTCACCGCCACAGTCGACTGTCCGATCCCCAAATTCCTGAGAAGATCTCAGAACTGAAGATGTCAAATGATGAACCAACTTGGCCCGCCCCCGTCCAGGACGGCATGCGTTTGCACCTGATAAAGCTATTTTTTTTAGTCAAGCGTTCTGTGTCCTCCGCTCCCCCCAGCCTAGCTTGTTTCCGTAGCAAAAGGGGTTTCCAAGCAAGTGATCGATTTTCCTCCAATTCTCCCAAAGTGGTACAGGGAAAACGACGCCCGCGACACCACACGTTCCGCCCGCGATGCCCGCTCTCGCCTCTCCCAAATGATCGGCCAGGTGCCGGTGCCTGAGGCGCATCCAGCGGATGAACCATCCATCCCTTGCAGGTGCATTCGTTGCAGAGAAGCACTTCACCCTAGGGCTCCAGTCGTACCTCCTCAGAAGGTATTTGGACCCTCCAAAGCGACCCCAAACACCTTGTCAGAAGGTACTTGGAGCCCTAGGGCTCATTTTTGTGGAACTAATTTCTGGAGGATTTTGACGAATCCATCTTAGAAAGTCATGGCTGGACAATCAGTCGTCAAACCCTAGAAAACACGGCGTGTTCTTTTCTGGTTAGCCAGTGACATTTCACGGATGCGACCCTGGACCGCCTGGACCCTCATATGGGGATGGATCAAAACCCCTAGCCGTGGTCCACCACCAAACTTGACCAGGTAGGTCAACCGGCCGGTCTCCTGGTGCCACCAAAAGGCCATAATATATAGAGGGATCGGACTCTGGGTCCCCCAAGGTGGACCTGTGAATGGAGTGGACCCGACTCCACCAGTGGATCGACCATCTGTGACCAGGTCACCACTGGGACTGGCCCGGCTCGAGAGCCCCTTCGCGCGCGCGGAGCGCGCTCCGGGCTGGCGCTCCAGGCGGGGGGGCCGAAACTTAGGGCGGTTGGAGCTTGGGACGTGTTTCCATGTGATGCCCTTTTGGAAGAGGGATGAACAGCAAGAATTTAGGACTTAGACTTAGACTTGGACTATTAGTCAAGAGGATTCAAGAGGTGGATGTTGAGCTTGAAAGTTCTTGAGGAGAACTGAAGAAACACACAGTGCGGATGCCAAAGCATGCCAAAGCAACAGAGCAAAGGAAAGTCCCATTCAATGGTTGGAATTCGTGATTCTCATTAGACTGGCAACACTACCCATGCGTGCAAAAACCCGGGGACCTAACCTTTTCAGATTGGATGACACAGACACGACATTTCATCCAAAAAGCCTTGTGCCGCTCGCTCTTGACCCTTAGCCAAGATGGACCATTTTTACCGTGCACGAGAGCTTTTTTGTGCTCATTTCATGGGGCTCTAGGACTCTTCTTGTGTGTCTTTTGCTTTCTACATTTGACATCATTTGACCAAGACATAATAACAATATACCAAGACCAGAAGTGTTTGATCCGGGAGTTTCGTAGCTTCTTCTTGATCAGTATGTCCTTCAGACATGGTGGCATGGGTTTGGGAACATATATCCAAAGAACACAAAGAAACCTGGTATCACGTGGACAGAAACTGTGACTCAGTCTCCAATCATCTAAATCGATGTTGCTATTTGCTATCCACAAAACAACATAGACAGCAATATTTAGTCTCCAATTTCTTCAATGTAACATTTGTTTTGTTTACATATTCTTTCCGAGAACATCCTAGAACCCATTTGAACCTCCTTTGGCAGGACGTGACACTATCTTGTTGGGGAGTTATTGGAGGTTCAAAAGAAGTTTCTCTCATGGAACCTAGCAGCAATGGCCTCCAACCTACTAGCAATGGCCTCCAACCTAATAGCGATGGCCTCCAACCGAATAGTGAAAGCCTCCAACCTCATAGCGCTGGCCTCCACCCTAATAGTGATGGCCATTACTCAGGTAGGTGATATGATCTTGGGCCGATCACTTGCAGATCAACCCGGATGAACCCCCGTCCGATCACTGCCAGTCACTGACACTGCCCCCCCCCGGGTTCCGACTGCAGGTATGCTCGGACCGCCCGAAGGTTTGACCGTGGTGCCGGGCACTCGGACCGATAGGCGCTGAACATCGGGCACGGAGTGCGTTTGGATGCGAGAAACGAAGAACGGTGAGAGAGACTGCGACCAAGAATATATCTTTAGTTATCTTTACCAGTCACAAGATGGGGTGGTGTGGCTCGTCCCATCCAGTGAGTGGATGCTGGGCAACCCAACGGCACCCTCCGTTCGTTCAGCACCCCGTCGAACGTGACGGCCGGTAGTTGAACTTTGTTGGCCCTTTTGGTTGAACTATTTTGAATAAATATCCGCTGCCATTGTGTTCTCACTCCGTTGCGGCTGGGTGGCGGGGGAAGTCGCACAGGCAGAACACCGCTTTTTGGGGTTGTGGAGGTTTTAGCTGAGATGTCAGTGTTGGATTCTGACATGTCGTCCACGTCCGTCACCCTAAGCACTTCCCAACCAGTCCCGTACCCAGACACTCCATGTATGCCATATATGCCTATATACATTGGGGTGGTTTGGGGGGTCGATGTAGGCATATATGGCATATACATGGAGTGTCTGGGGTAGGTCAGTACTACACGGGCTCTCCTCCGCCGTCTCGACGGATCTGTCGCCCCCGATGAGGTTCCGGAGTGGGACATCTCCATCGAGGCCAGTGCGTCCACTTCGCTCTCGGCAGACACTGGCAACTCCAGTGGTGCCTATGGAAGTGAATCCTCTGGCAGCACATGGAGGCCTGGGTGAAAAAAAAGGAGGGGTGAGGCAGGATCTCAAAAAGGGGAGGGAAGAGGAGGGAAGTTCTTGAAGCAGTGACTTCCACGACTTTTTGGTTGCTCTCTGTTTGTGGATGTCTCCTCCAAGGCCTTACTGTGTCCTGGTTGATGTTCTAGAATGTTCTAGATTCTGGATGCATTTTTTGTTTTGTGTGTGTGTGTGTGTAGTATATATACATGCATGTCTGTATATACTATAGATGATCGACGTATCATGCGGGACCCCCCCTTGAAAACCACTGCGGTTCCAACATGAACGTTGCAGTGCGTGGAATTCAGACCCAAAGGACGCGACAATTCCACTCGCACTCGAAACAGCCCGTCCATTGCCTGGGGCTTAGACAGCTTAAGTAGTAATTAAGTAGATCACTTTCCTCGATTCATCCACGGTGCATCGCCAACCGTCAGGCGTGGCCTGCCCTTTCAGAGGCGTCCCTCTTCACAATCCTCGCGGGAGCTGTAGGTGCCATTCCACCGGTTCGCGTTCGCGTTCGCGTGTCTAACGAGAAGATCGGTGCAGAAACCAAGCCAGAAAGTACCCCCCTGCAAAGACATGGACTGGGGCACCCTATGAAAAAGACTTGAACCATTATTGTAACTGACACCTTTCCAAAAAGGGACTGGCGCTTAAAGCCAAGTGAAACATCCTCCAAGATCCGCCCATTCCTAAGAACAGGTGGAGTTCGTTTGATTCCTTTTTCTTTTGGTGGGAACCGGACCGGTCCAGAAACGGCTCAGAACGGGTGCCGGTACGGCTCGCTGCGACCCGACCACTTCGACGGAGCCGAGAGACGATGCCGCAGAATTGGTCGATGGTTCTCACTCTTCCTACCAGCGACCATGGATTTCAAGTAGATGACCCACATAATCAAACGGTTCGTTTGAAGGGGGGTGGCCTCTCAATGTTGTTGGTGTCTGGACATTTTGTTGTGCGGATGGCTAGCGTCTTATTTTGTTGGGACGGGGCGGAGAAGAAAAGATCCAGCCATCTAAAACCCGATTGGATGGGACGTTCTTCTTGCTTTTGTTTTTTCCAGTCTTCTTTGGGACCGACGAAGTCGCGTCGCTTCAGTCGTTATTTTATTTTCGGCAAGTGAGTTCAAAACAACAGAGGCACTGATCTAAAACCGGCGTCACAGCACTAGAACACATCGGGGCCTACCTTATTTGGCAAGTAGGCGACTGACATGAGCGAATATGACTGACGTTGGGAGTACGGGAGTACACTCCAAGTGTAGGCTGAGAGACGCGAGGAGTGAGAAACAGAGGGAGTACACTTCGACAGATTCACATGGTTACGTTGATGGCACCATTGTTGGTAGGGGAACATGGTCATCCGAACTCGGGGTCATGCCATCCACCTAACCATGATTGTTTCAGGAAGTGTAAGTCCATGTCGCCTTCAGCATAACAAAGTGAAAGAGACGCTTTTGGGAAGGAGACAGCAAAGTCTGCAAATTTGTTTCTGGTCATTCATGTTATTCATGTTGGTCTTGTTTGTTGGACATATAAGCTGGTGGCTGGGTTTGATATTGATTAGCATTGTGACCCGTTGAGAACAGGGTGTCCAACCAAAAACCATAGTCCCGCCGCAAGAATGCACCATGTTCATCCGTTTTCGGTTTTCGACTCTCATGTTGCAGGAAAAGAGATTTGGTGTTGCTGTGGCAAGACAAGGACTATAGACAAATCCCAGCTGAGCACGACAGAGTCTTCAATAGATCCCACATTGGGCAAAAGATTCGACACCTCGCCACACCTGCCAGGTACCTAAATCCACCATCGCAGCCGGCTGATCTCGAGGGTTCGCAGCCGAAGATCCTCCACCACTTGCTGCATGTCCTCCACTGCTTGCAGTCTATGTGGGTGTGTATTAGAACCCATATATCTCCTGGCCCCCCAAATGGTTGCGGTCTTTCCCTCCATTCAACTGGGCGGGTCGAACTGCCGAAGTCTTCCATTCGTTTAAGACACAGCCATGTCACCATATGGTTGGCTCTTTTGGTGTTCGAGCCCAGAGATACCTTGGTGGATCTGACACTTGGTACATACAATGAGTGGACCACCTGTGTCCAATTGGCCGTCCGGTCCCATCTTCAAAGCTGGTTCCAGCAAGATGGATCCAGAAATCTGTGAATTCAGGTCGGGTTGGAAGATGGAGCAGTGTTGGAGTAGCAAGTCCTGTCTCACAGCTTTGGTGTGGTTCGTTTCGGTCATGTCGATGTTCTTCTGTGGCTGTGCAAACGGAGCAGAAACTGCTTGATCTACCAGCACTGCCCAAATGCATGAAAGGGAATGTGGGATGCTGTGCTTGGCAGAGTCCCAGGCATTGCCGATTCCGAAGTGCTCAGTGCTTAGCATCAAGAAGATGCGCAACGACACGGCTGATGGTCGGCGAGGCGACCTTGGTGGCCAGAGGAAGACTCATGTACAGTCAATGTTGTGTGTCAAACGAAGCACGGGACCAGCAGGGTTAACATACACCAGTTGGCTATCAATTTGATCCCTTTGCTGTGAACGACGTCAAGACGGCCCCGCATAGATGTGTCCGGAACCCCTATTTTTCTGTTTTTTTTTAAATCAATTTTTATCTGGGAATGTTTTTCACATTTTTTTCCCTACTGCTTTTGCTTTTGCCTTTTGCTTTTTGCTTCTGCTTTTGCTTTTGCCCTTTGCTTATGCTTTTGCTTTTGCTTCTGCATCTGCTTTTGCATCTGCTTCTGCTTCTGCTTTTGCTTTTTGCTTCTGCATTTGCTTTTGCTTTTCCTTCTACATTTGCTTTTTGCTGCTGCTTTTGCTTTTGCTTTTTGCTTCTACTTTTGCTTCTGCTTTTGCTTTTGCCCTTTACTGTTGCTTTTTGCTTTTGCTTCTGCATCTGCTTTTGCTTCTGCATTTGCCTTTTGCTTCTGCTTCGGCTTTTGCAATCAGAGCCTGTGCTGCTGCAAGTGGCCAGCTTCCACAGCTGCGCTGCTTGCAG